GGGCAATTTGGTGATGAAATTCATAGTGATCTCCTCCCACTTCCACATGGGAATGGGCAACGTATGAACCTTGTCGTGAGGTCTCTGACGTTCGGCTTTGAACTTCCTACAAGTCAAACACCGCTCAAAAAACCAAGAAAATTCCCTCTTCACGTAGGGCCACCAGTAGCTTAATCTCAAGTCTCGGTACATCTTCGTGGCCCCCGGATAGATAGAAAACTTTGATTTATGCACCTCCTCCAAAACCGTCTATCTCACTCCAGCTGATGTCGGAACCCAGACCCTACCAAACTGAGTTAATAACCCCCGACTGTCCCTAACAAACAAAGGAATCTGCCCTTTTATCCGCTCAGTCTTCCAATTTTCCTTTTTCAATCCTTCCACCCGAGCCTCCTTAATCAAATCCATCAAGGGTGAAGTGATAGTCATCCTCAAACAAATATCTTAGATCGATGAGCACACCGCCTTACGGCTCAACGCATCGGCCACCACATTGGCCTTTCCAAGGTGGTACAAAATCTCGCAGTCATAGTCTTTTACCACATCCAACCACCTCTGCTGCCGCATATTCAAGTTCAGATGATCCATAAATACTTCAAACTCTTTATGATCAGTGTAAATAGTGCATCATACCCCGTAAAAAATAGTGCCTCCGGATCTTGAGGGAAAACACCACCACCCCCAACTCTAAATCATGTGTGCGGTAATTCGCCTCGTGAGGCTTCAGCTGCCTCGAGGCGTAAGCAATCACATGCCATCTCTGCATAAGAACAACTCCCAATCCTGAAATAGAAGCGTCATAGTAAACCACAAAATCATCCAATCCCTCATGTAACACGAGGATCTGGGCCTCGCACAACCTCTGCCTCAGAGTCTCGAAGGCCAACTGCTGATCCGGACCCCACTGAAAGGTCACATTCTTCTTGGTCAGCTGGGTCAGAGGCACCACAATCTTGGAGAAGTCATGAATAAATCTCTGATAATACCCCACAAGAACCAAGAAGCTCCGAATCTCATATGCGTTTTTCAGAACCTCCCAACGCATCTCTGAAAAAAAAAGCTCGAGTGGAAGGGTCCATTGTTAACGCGTACTTTCTTCATGAAGCATTGATATTTTGCTCTCATTATTTCAAGATTGATGTACCTACATGTAATAGAAAGTTGCCTCGAAATGATGATGAAGGAGGAGATGAGAAATCTAATGATGATGACAACGAAACTTTAGATATATTTTCATGTCTTGGTCGTCATTATGGACAATTGAAGACTAGAATGTTGTCTGATGAGGAATTCAATGCTGCCCATTCTTACATACTCCTTAACGAAGATAAGATTAAAACTTACATCGGGTAAAATATGTTTTTGTTAAAATAATATATTTATTTGTTGTTTAATTGCTCCAAATAACATTAATTAAAATGATTTTGTTTATTACATCATAGTAACTTTGAAAATGTAATTTAAACGGTAATACAACAAATTTAAAGATCACTTGAAAGATCTTTTGGGGGATATGGATCAACCTGACCTTGCAGCTGAAGTGGAAAAGAATTTTGCAATATGGTTTCAAAACTATGTGGGTGATAAGTTTTTTTTAGTTTTTATTTTTATTATTGTTTTTTATATATGGTTATAATTAGTGCATCACCATTTGTCGTGTAGGCACGTAAAAAAAAAGATAAATAACAAGTATATATTTGACCTTTCCAGAATGTCATTGAGGACAATCAAATTATATAATGTATATTTTGTCAATAGTTACAAGTTTCACACGAAAGCTCACGGTCTGAACAAATCAACAATGAATACCAGATTGTGTATTAGTAGCTAAGGAGGTGACTATTATGGCCAGGTAGTGGAAATTTTACAAGTAGGGTACCCTCGTTAAACAAGGAAAAGCACAGTTTTGTTTAAATGTCATTGTTATGATCCAACACCTAACATAGGAGTTAAGGTTCACAAATAATATAACTTTGTCGAAATAAACGTCAAAAGAAAATATAACAAGTTTGAGCCATTTGTTTTAGACATGCAAGCCACTTAGGTGTGTTACGTTCCTTACCCAACTTAAAAAAACAACTCCGACTGGTTGGCTGTATTGAAAGTTAAACCTCGTGGTTGGACTGATGTATATGAAAATGATAATAAAAAAGACGTTGCTTTCCAAGAGGATGAAATTGTATCAAATGAAATCATTACATTAACTACAGATACAGATGACTATGATGATCAGGACATGTCAAGCAAGGATTCAGATGATGAAAATTTCATTGATGAAGAAATTGAATTTAATGATGATGACAATGATGGTATTCCTGACAAGGAGGGTAGTTATGAGTATAGTACATCGAGCAATGAAGAAGAAGAGGAGGAAGAAGATATTGAGTTAATCTTATATTGTTTCTTTAAGGATGGTTATATTTAGTTTTTTATGCGAATTGGTAAATGTGATGTTACGTATTACTGCCCTTGGACAGAATTAAGTGCAGTTTGCTCATTCTTTGTACTGCAGTTTTTTTTTTTTTTTTTTTTTTGAAATGGTATAAAGTTATTCAACCTAAAATAAAACATAACAAATGTTTCTTTCATGTAATAGTAAAGACATTTATAAAATTCAACCATAAAATAAACAAATTATATTATCACTTTAAATACATATCATTCAAACCATAGACATTATATTGTAAAATACATTACAAAAATTAATTCCTATCAACTTCGCTAGGCTTTTTTTTCCATAGCAAACAACCAACATAAATAGAATTCCGTAGCATAATTCCGTAGGTAAATAGCTATGAATGTTATTTCCGTAGCAAAGCAACTATGATTTTTTTTTCTGTTGAAAATTCCTATTGCAGATTAATCACGGTATTTAATTTCGTAGCATAATTACAATGAAAAGTATTTTCGTAACAATTTTCGTTGCAAAATTGCCACGAATGGCTTTTCCATAGCAATATCGGTAACAATATTACCAACGGATTTCGAGTCGGTAACAATTTCCGTAGCAGTTCTCATGTTCGCTACCGAAAATTAATTCCGTAGAAAATATGGTAGCAAAGTAGCTATGGAACGACATTCCATAGCACGATCCGTTGCAGAATTACAACGGAAATACGTTCCATAACAACCTTCCGTTGCAATTTCGGTTTTTTCTTGTAGTGCTTTGAAAGTAAATGGAAAATTCTACAGGATATTGGTTAGTCATGATTTGTTGTATGGATCCAAATGTTGTTCAATTAAGGAAGAGCATGAACGGAAAGTAGAGGTTACAGAAATGAGGATGTTACTGCAGACTTATGGTAAAACTTTATTGGACAGAGTTCCAAATAATGATTTTAGGAATTCGTTAGGAGTGGCATTGATTTTGATAAATCAAGGAAGGAAGATTGTGGTTTGGACATGTATAGAGGAGACAACCAACACCCATTGTTACGAGGGTGGATAGAATCGTTGTTACCGAAGCAAGGAAGAGAGGACATCCGAGAAGGAAGTGGGAAGATAATGTGAAGTTAGACTTGAAAGAGTTAACTTTTACAGAAGACATGTTCTCTGATAGGAAGACATGGAGGCTAGTATCAGAGTAATGTAGTGTGATAGAAATAAAATAGGTACTAGATTTTCCTTCCCATTGTTTATGCTATAGGTATTAAGCCCTTATCATCTTACATTTATTTGCATGATAGTTCTTGTTTGTATTTACTAGTATCAACCCCTTGCCTTTGCATTGCTCCTACAAAAAAAAAATTTGTTTACGTTTTCCCCCACTTGGCTATTAGTTTAATTTGTTTATATTTGTTTTTACGTCATTATATATTGACGTTTTAAATGTAGGAATATTATCTTATTTTATTGTATTTTATTTTATTTTTCTTATTGTTCTTTTTCTTTTCTTTTGGAGATCTTTTGTGGAAATATATCATGCATATTCTTATGGGATTGTGCCTATTTTTATGAAATCGGTTGTATTGTTATTAGTATTGTTATTGTTTGTAATTAAGTAACGTAGAAAAAAAAAGTCATGGTTTTCTAAAACTCTTTGAGATGTTGCCAGTTTTTAAAGGAGATTAATTTTGAAGTATTTGTAAGAAATTTGTATCTTATTTTGTATGAATTTTAAGTTTTTGATGGTTTATTGATATTTATTACTATTATTATTATTTTTTAATCAGAAGAGAAGAATTATAATTTTTATCATTTAACACTTTCATTCGACAATCTTATCATATAACATGTTTTCATTCGAAACCTATAAATTATTATGATATTTTTATTATTCAGTGCAAAAGCATTAAGACGTTTACCAAACAACCATATAACTTATTGAATGACTAAATTAGTATATTGATGGCATAAACGCTATAACAATCATAACTTATTGAATGACTAAATTAGTATAAAAGCTTACAAAAGCTGGTGATAATTATTAATCAATAAACAAGTAAACCTGAAAAAAATGCCGTATAAAACAAATTTAAAGTTTTAAAAGGGAAATTCTTCTCCAACTAAATTACAAGTCAAATGTCTCCCGTGAATTATTACATGGTCATAACTCACTCTTTTCTTTATGATCCATGTCGCCTTCAAGCAGTTGAAATATTGTCTGTGTTTCTTTGCACATAGATTTGTTCCTTTATTTATAAGAAATAATAAATTGCAAGTTGGGTAATGTAATACAATTCCAATCTAGGATAAAATTTTCAAGGCTATCCATGAGTGCTGCAATCAATGCTTGTCACACGACATATCAAACCAACCAAGTTCCTCCTTTTTTTTGTGTGTTTTTTCACTCTTGGATTCATGGAAAAGATCTCTCAAGTAGGTTTTCGGAGTAGTGTTTATACTAAAAAAAGAAAAGAAAAAAAAAAACGATGATTTACTTATTTAAAAAAAAAACGAGAAACAATTACACAACAATGGAGGACCAAGCATATATACTTGCTACCATACCAACTACCGGATATATATTTGTATCAAGAATTAATTACAAAGTCAACTATGAACACTCCCTACATGATTCAATACCTGATGCCATCACAATCCAATCTTTATCTATCTGCTTTTTTCATAAATCACAAGACAAATGGCTCATTAGGGTTCAATGAAGAAGATAAAGTGAGAAGAACTTTGTTTCCACCATGGCTGTTCATCATACGACTATGAACATCTTCATTATCTTCATCTCTGTAACTTTGCTCATCACTCATGCTCTTTCACTTCCTTTGTGTACAGATTCAAGTAATCAACTTCTCAGAAACCCCATTACGTTTTAGCGCACTTCCAGTTTATAATTTTGTTGATGTTTCTAATGATTCTTGTGTATATATAACAGGTGCTCCACTTAAACCCAAGACTCCTCTGGTTTTCTGTAACTACAATGGCAGTTCGTGCTGCGATTCTATCCAAGATACGAATATACAGAAGCAGTTTGTATCCATAAATATATCTCAACCTGCTTGTGCTTCTCTTCTCAAATCCATCCTCTGTTCTGTAAGTTTCTTGGTTATAACTTGAATGTTTGGATTTTAAGCAAGTTTTGGGTTTTATGTATCAAGAAAAACTTGAATGTTTCCATTTTTCAGAGATGCGATCCATTTTCAGCAGAGCTTTTCACCATTAAAACTGTTCCTCGACAAGTTCCTGTGCTCTGCAACTCTACAGTTTCATCAAACTCATCACAAACCAACCAAGCTAACAACAATTTCTGTGAAAAAGTATGGGACACCTGTCAGAATGTATCCGTAAGGAATTCACCATTTTCGCCATTGTTACAAGGTCAAGCTCCAACACCAGCCAATTCAAGCAACAAGCTCACTGACATCTGGCAATCAAGATCGGATTTTTGTAACGTAGTTGGAGGACCTTCACTCGAAGATTCCGTCTGCTTCAATGGCGAAAAAGTCCAACTAAACATAACCACCAACAGCACCAAATCTCCCCCAACTGGCATGTGTTTGGAGAAAATCGGAAACGGTTCATACCTTGACATGGCGGGTCACACTGACGGGTCGAACCGGGCTTTCTTCTCCAACCAAAAAGGCCAAATTTGGTTAGTCACAGTTCCTGAAATCGGGTCTGGACGTGGGTTGGATCTTGATGAGTCCAACCCGTTTCTTGATTTGACAGATGAGGTTTACTTCGATACACAATTCGGGTTGATGTCGATAGCTTTGCATCCAAATTTCGCTCAAAATGGAAGGTTCTTTGCTTCTTTCAACTGTGACAAATCCGAAAATCCAAGTTGCTCTGGAAGGTGTGCCTGTAACTCCGATGTAAAATGCGACCCTTCAAAGCTACCTGCGGATGACGCCGCCGAGCCTTGCCGGTATCAAACCGTTGTGGCAGAATACACCGTTAATGGGACATCATCCTCACGGGCATCTGTAGTAAGTTTTCGATCACATAGATGGGAAGAGAAATTTTTAGCTGTTTCTTATATTTGGAGTCTGTTTTTTCTGCAGATTCCGGTGGCTTCGCCGGTGGAAACGAGGAGGATATTCACGATGGGTCTTCCGTTCACATCTCACCATGGTGGACAGATTCTTTTTGGACCAGACGATGGGTACTTGTATTTCATGATGGGAGATGGTGGAGGAGGTGATCCTTACAATTTTGCACAGAACAAGAAGTCGTTACTTGGGAAGATTATGAGATTTGATGTCGATAAAATACCCAGTAAGTTTGAGAAAGAAGACGCATTTGACTTTTAAAGTCAACAGTGTTGAATTTCAATTTCAAATTTGAGTCGAATTGTTGGACACATTTAGAAATTCTTAGAGGGAAGATTAGATTTTCATAAACGATCTGCAAAGAAGAAAAAGTTGTGTCCAATTTAATAAAAAAACCAACGTGAACTTTGAATCTTGAAGAGTATGGTTTGACCTAAAGAAGTCAAATCTTTATTTATCAAAATTTGAACTCTCAAGTCTAAATCCAGGTGAATCGGAAATTACAAGTTTGGGATTATGGGGAAACTATTCAATCCCAAGAGACAATCCATATGTTGAAGATAAAGATTTGCTGCCAGAAATCTGGGCTTTAGGGTTTAGTAATCCATGGCGATGCAGTTTTGACGCAGAAAGACCTTCGTATTTCATGTGTGCAGACGTAGGCCAGGTATTACATATCGACTAAACTGCACAAATGGTCGGTGTGGTTTGTCGAAAATTGTCACTTTGGTCCAAAAAAGTTTGGACTAGCACCAGTGGTCCAAAAGTTTGATTTTGTTGCGAGTTTGGTCCAATTTACTTTGAATTTTTTTAAAATGGCAGATTTGCCCTTTCTTAATTTCATTTTCTATTTTTTTATTTTGTTATATTTCTGATTTAAATTAAACAAAAAAAAAATTTGTTTTCAATCCTCCCTCCTATAAACAACACCACCACCACCGATCACCATCTCTCTCTCTCTCTCTCTCTCTCACTCTCTCTCTCGTTGGAACACCTCCGATCTCAACCCTCACCAGCATGCTCTTTGTTTCTTCTCCGGCGATGGAACAAATCTGCAAATGAGGGTTTGCTTCGAGCTAGGTTTTGCTGAGGAACAATCAAGTCGGAGGAGAAGATGAAAGGCGGCGAGAGGCAATATTTTTGCTTCTGACGGTGGTATCCCACAAACCGACTTCCAGATCTGGACGGAGGCGGATCTGAATCGTCGCCACCAGATCTGTCGATTCAGGCTTTGTAAGGATGCATTTCAGATTCTCGGAGGTGGCTTCGTCTAGAAACCCTCAAGATCGATGATCTGTAAACGTCGTTGTCTTCACAAATCAACGACGTCCTTCTTCGTTGAAAACCCTAATCCATATGAGATAAGGTGGCGGCGGTAGGGTTTCAGAAGTTGGTGATGGTTTTTGTCAAAAATCAGGGTTATGGATATGGTTTCCGGTGGAGAAGAGGAACCAAGAAAGTGACAAAAGGGTCTCCGGTGGTGGGAATCGATTAGGATTTGTTGTAGGTGATGCAACTTTTAGATTTGTTGGAGGTTGCTAGTGACGGAGACAATGGGGGCCGAAGGTGGGGTTAAAGGCGGTGGTGCCAACGACGAAGACGGTGGTGACGTCGACAATGATTTTGGATGACGGTGGTTTCCGTCGGTGACACCGATTTCTGGCGATGGCACCGGTTTCCGGGCTTTATGAAGTGGTTCTTGAGAACCATGAAGAACAAACGAAGAGGGAAGGAAAAATATTGGGGGAGAGAGAGAGAGAGATTTATTTTTATTTTCTTGTTTTTTAGAGAGAGATAGAGATTTATTTTTATTTTTATTTTATTTTTTTTTAAATCTAAAAATCAGGAAAACAAATAAGAAAAAAGATAAAGTATATTAACAGGGGTAGATCCGTCATTTTGAAAAAAAATCAGAACAGATTGGACTAAAGACGCAACAAAATGAAAGTTTTGGACCACTGGTGCTAGTCCAAACCTTTTTGGACCAAAGTGGCAATTTTCGACATACCACAGGGACCATTTATGCAGTTTTGTCTTACATATTTACATTTAACATTCTCCTTCGACTATTGAAACTACGTTTATTGTTTATAACCTTGTTAACGTTTGTTATCTATTACTAGAACGAATACGAAGAGGTGGATATGATCACAAGAAATGGCAACTATGGATGGCGGGTTTACGAGGGACCCACCACTTACACTCCTGAAAAAAGTCCCGGAGGAAACACGTCGGTGACTTCTATAAACCCTGTTTTTCCGGTGATGGGATACAAACACTCTGACATAAACAAGAACGAAGGTTCGGCTTCAATCACCGGAGGGTTTTTCTATCGGTCCACAACCGATCCTTGCTTGCATGGAAGGTAAACAAGTCAAGATCCTTACTTCCATTAAGAGGGTGTTTGGGATTAATTTTAAATGACTTTTGTCTTTTAACTTTTCTAAAAAGTAAAAATATGTTTGGAAGATACAAAAGTTCTTTTCAAAATAACTTTTGTAAAGAAGAAAAAGATAGGTTTTCAAAAGTCATGAAAGTGTGACTTTTTGTGACTTTTAGACTTTTAAAGCTAAATTACACTCAAAAGTCAAGAAATACAACCCAAACCTTTTTAAAAACAACTTTTGGCTTTTGCATCCTTAAAAGCTAAACTCAAAAAAAACTTTTACAAAAAAAACTTTAAAGCTCAAAAAGTAATCTCAAACATCCCCTAACACAGAATCATATCCTTCCAACAATCCCTAGGCCAGCGAAGAGATTGTTGGAAGTATTATTATTGGATTGATTCTTATGTACCTATTCGCATCACATGATTTTTTTTGAATATAATATTCGCGACACAGAAAAGTTTCATTATCTTGGAAAAAAAATTGATAAAATCTTTAAAAAAATTTAACAAAAAAAAATCATATTATTTTAAGAAAATCGTCAATTCTTATTTAAAAAAAAGACTTCTGTTAATTTAGACAAAATCTTAAATAATCGGGGTTTTTCTGTTCAAAAATATTTTTATGATTTTATTAAAAGTTTTCTTAAAATAATGAGACTTTTCTGTATAAAATCCAGTTCAGTTGTTGAAAGAATAATCCTTTTGCAGAAATGATGTCTGCATATATGATAAATAATATTGAATCTTCGTAATATGTAGTTATTTATACGGAGATCTATACGCTCATGAGATGTGGGCAGGAGTTGAAACGCCTGAAAATAGTGGGATTTTTACAGTGAACAATATCTCCTTCACATGTGCGAAGGATTCTCCAGAACCGTGTAGCCTAGTCCCGGGCAGTTCGCTTCCTGCCCTAGGTTACCTGTTTTCATTCGGGCAGGATAACAACAAGGACATATATCTATTATCAAGCAGCGGTGTGTATAGAGTTGTTCCTCCAAGCCGTTGTGGTTACACTTGCGAGTATGAAACTACAACCACGGGTCCCACCACCGGTCCAATGACACCCACTCGTAATTCAAGTGCAAACATATTGAAGGGTTCTTGCAAGAGCCTCTTTGTGTTTCTCTTCTTTTTCCTTGTGTTAGGCTTCTCCACTCCATAATAACTTTCGAGATCATGAGTCTAGTTTGAGCCTTTACACTAATATTGTAATATTGATGTCTTCAAGTATTATTTCTTATTGACATTGAAAAACACTTCTATCCGGTATACTTGATTTACATCTCATATTTTATATTGTCTTTGTGATGTAGAATGGTCTACTCAAGGGTGAAAAACTAATTTTGTAGAAACTTCGCATATAACATAAACACAGCAAACGTAAACAAGAAAATGTAAATCAAAACGTCTACAACAAAGAAGATATATGCAATGGTTTAAACATGATACCCACTTACGGATTCTCACATTCTTACAACACAGAAAAACAATATATGATGAGGGAAAGGAAAAGATGTAGAATCATAGATTAAAGTCCAACAAAATCTTTTTTTTCCTCCAGTTCTACAGTAAATTACATTACAATGACCCACCCCAAGGATTCCTGTTGTATCAAAACTTCCCCATTATATAAAACCCATCTGAGAAAGAAGGGGGAAAGGGAGAATAAAGAAACAAAATAATCAAAGAATCTCAAAAGGGAAAGGGAGCTATCTTGATTGGGCCCACTACATTCCTCCTATTCAATGAAAATTTGTGGGATGGTTGTCATCTCATGTTGCAGCATTCAGGGCGTCCATGGCGTTGTAACTTGTTCCACATGCACATCATTTGTCTAGGAGACTGATAATGAGCTGTATAATACTCTTCAATGCAACCAAACTGACAAAACTTCAAACTGTGCACATATTCTACACGTTTTTTTGTGCTATTATACTGCTCTACCCACATTCCCATACTCACATCTTCCATCTTGAACAGCTTCAATTTATGCTTCTCAAACTCCATTGCAATAAACTCTGCAACATCTGATGATAGAATGTACCCTGGACCATTTGCATATGGTGGATAATCCTCTTCCGGCCATTCCTGATTAAAAAAAAATAAAAATACATACAAATTGAAACACAAGGTTTTGGAATACAAAAGGAATGGAATCTATCATCGGAATTGGAATCTTGAATTTGAATGGAATGGAATTGGTACCTCGTATGTGACAGACCATTTGCCATATCTTAGGGGTTTATGATAGTAATTGATGTTTCCTACATATAGGCTTTTCCCTTCTCCTATTTTATTTGCTTCATTAAGAACAGCATCAACTCTAACAAATGTGTCATCATCACACTTCATGATATATTTAGCTGATGCAGTTCGAACCTGAATTAAAAATTAAAATAACATCCAAAATTAGTACTTTTCTCATGAAAAGAGCTTTAAGAGTCTCCAACATATATAGAGACAGATAGAAGTAGAACTAACCCCATATTCACATATAGCAACGGTTTTCAAGACAACAAGGTCATAATTGTCCATGTAAGGCACAATGACAATATCGCCAAAGAAATCGGCTTCTTTCTTCAATTCGTAGTTCACTTCTTTTCTTGCATGCTGACATGAAGAACAAATTGTGTAAAGTTGATGTCTAAAGCTAAAATAAGAATTTTGAAAAGCATGTGTTAAGTGTGTTACTTACTAATGCAACAAAGAAACGGGCGACAACATGTGAAGATTTAATAAGATTATGTTGCATCCAAGATTTTCTAACAGCCATTCTTTCAGCAAAATGATTTCCTGCTGAAAGAATACCAATGAAGAGATCAATGGGTTCATTTGGAAGAGGTGGGGCCTTCCATTTATCTGACATTTCTAAGTGTCTTTGAGGGGCAAAACTGGGATGTGCTGAGGGTAATGATGCAGCAAATACAGCAGTCACATCAATATCTCCATTCAAAGCCAATCCAGTGGCGTCTTCCAATGCAAAACCCTGATAGAAAGTGGAACGTCTAAGAGAATGGTTTATCAAAATGACGAAAATAGCCCAAATGGTGCTACTAACTACTTACAGTTCTATATGGGAATGAAGTAATGTGTCTTCCATCAACGTTTACATGATAACCCTCTAATCCTGCACTAAGAGTTAACACGAATAGCTTCCCTTCTGCAAAAGGGTAAGGCCAGTCAAAAGTCACCTTCTTTGTTCGACCTATGAGCCTGTTCAACCACCAGCTTGATTTTGACTCCTCTGAATGATCATCATCATCACGAATCCACTTCTCACACTTCACTTGACCATCAACTAGAAAAAGAACCCAAAAAATTAGGTAATGAGATCGGTAGATAGTTAGAAAGTTAATCAAATTAGGTCTGGAATTCAATTGGGATTTAGGACTTACCGGTTTCTTCATCAGCTCTGGATTTCCATCCTTCACAACGATGAGCAGATCCCCATTGCATCCGATAACATGTATTCTGTTCAATCACAGGCTTGCCACTCCAATCGCCTTTTAACCTAGGGTTAAAATGCAAAATCCTTGGTGGGTCTTCACCATCAACGGTTTTTAAGCCCTGTAACTCCATCATGAACTGCGACACCATCAAATACTGTCCGGATTTCAACAACGAAATCTTTGGGTCCTGCTCAGGATGAGCTTCTCGAGGTCGACCCACAAGAGTTATATGTGATCCCAATGTCATTCCACAGGGAAGCACAATGATGCTTCCTTTTTCGCGGAAAACAGACCCTGATAGTGTAATCGAATTAGGGCAACTCTCTCTGGTTTTGTTTTTCACACCGTTGATGGTGATGTTTTCCGAGGGTAATTTAAGTTTACCCGATTCGAGTTCTTCCCAGTACTTCTTCCCTACTGAAAAAGCTTCCGTTGCAGATTTTTGAATGCCCCCAAATCCATCTTTTGGTTCGCCGTTCAAACTATTGATGTCGAAATTCAACGTGGATAAAGCTTTGAACTCACGGATTTTTCGAGAATGCCTGGAACTAACAGGGATTTTGGCAGCGATTTGAGGGAGATTTAGAGGGCGAATCGGGGCTTCTTTTTCTTGTAATTCTTCTTCACTGTCTAGGGCGTAGGGTTTTTTGGAAAATTTGTCAGAGAAGAAGAAAACACTAGACTCGTCTTCTTGACTAACTATTTTCGACACAAAGGGAACTTCTAGACCAACCATGAGCAGATACAAAAATCCTAAACCGATCAGAAACTGAATCGATCTTTTCTGTCTTAAAGACATGAACCAGTCTAATTTAGTTCGCTTCATGTCCAAGTTCTTCCGATTACCCAAAACTCAGAAAGAATTTGAACAAGAAACAAACACCCACAACTCAGAAAACCCTAACGGTAATATGATTTCTTGTAATCATGAAAAAGACTCGAACCCAGTTTCAAAATTGGACTCGATTTCTAGAATACCTGGCCCCCCACTCCCCAAATTGAAGATGAAACACACCTCAGAGAGAGAAACGAAGAGGGCGTTACCCCACGGACGCGTTTTGATGGTGGAGTTGTAGAGAGAGAGGGGTTGTAGTGTGTGTTTTGTGTGTGAGAGAGAATGTGTGGAAGGGTGGAGGAAGCTTTAACACTTCACAGGTCGGTCGCCTGCCTGGAACAAACAAAAGTTCAATTTATTCTCCATCAATTCAAATCTAATTCAAAAAGGATACCGTTTTTAGTTTTTGTTATTTTCATTTAGTTTATTTCGATTCGATTTTAATTTTATCAAATTTATTCCATTTATATCAAATTCATAAAATTATTATTTTTCATTTTATAGAAAAATTATGTGTTAACATCTTAAAGTGTAATTATATTAAGGAAATAAACAATGAAGTACTAAAACCTTTTAATGCGAGAATAAAACCATAAGAAATTATGTCGATATGTGTTTGTTCTTATGTCGATAGGTATTAATATATAAATACAAAAAAATAGCAAAATAGCTATATATTTTATAATAAAATAACCAGAAAATCTTGAATATAAAAATAATAAAAGGCATCATCCAAACGATGCGCATCAACTCGTTCAAGCTTCATATGGAAAGTTAATCGTAGAAAATATAATAATATTGTAGATTTGTTAGAGTTTGAACATTAAGCTTTGTGTATCGATTTATGGACATTAAATCAGAGACTGTTTCAAGGTACAAAATCTTCAATATAAAAACATGTTTTGTAGGGTTTCAAATAAAAATTAGATACCCTCATGTGAAATTATCCTTTGTCGATAATTGTACAATTAGATTTCTTATTAGCCACAAGAATATGTCATTATTTGTTGCAAATTAGATATATATTATATATACCTCTTAAATATCAAGGAATAGTATGATTATAATTTTGGATCTTATATTCTTTTATTTGTATTAGTTATAATTTTGATTCGGTTTTGGTTCCTATAGTTTTTAATTTGTATTAATTATATTAGCAGTTTACCCGTGCAAAGCGGCGGAGCGCATAAGTTCTTTCGGTAATATGTTTCCTTTGAAAATATTATGTTCCAAAAGAAAGTACATGTCGAAGAAAATATAATCAAACTATGTGTTATTTGTTACATGACTTATCAACTCATCACGTGGAGGTAGTATTACGTCGGGCTGACTTTGAATACCAACGTATAAACAAAAATATCTCATTAAGAGTGTAAATTATGACATGTCTCAAATAAAAGATTATGGTTAAATGCAATGTTGTACAATTTAGATTTTCATGTGATAACTCTGGATATATAGTTGGGTTGTTATTTTATACCTGGTTTCGTTATGTTTCGTTCCGTCTGGCGTTGATAAGGGTTGCTATTATAAATCAACTTTCTTTGACCAAAATCTAATACACATGTAGGAGATGCATTGGTAATATCCATCAAATTTGGTCGTGGTTTATCTACCGGTGTGGTCTCAATGTTGAGGAGTCGGGCAGTAGGATGGAGATGCTCAACATTTTGGAAGTCTCGGCTCATGGAATGAATAAGAACAACCTCAAATTAGCTCTTACTTTTTTGTTGCTTTGGTCGGTTTTTGAAGGACCAAAACTCACTTGTGTTCGACTCCAAAAGATGTTCTCCTTTTAAAACGACGGATGAGATTCAATTGATCTCTTTTAATTGGATCAAGCCTAGATAGGTTTTTCATTGTATTAGTTGGTTGGATTGATCTATATCTCTCTTTTTGACAACTATTCTCGACTTTAGCATTTTAAATAATTCATAATTTTTTATATATTAAAAGTCGAACACATCATCATAATGATATTATT